GTGTGTTGTTTCCGTCTCGCGGGGAAACATGATGCAGAAAGATGTAGCAAGTTCGCGATAGAAAAAATCGCGCAGAAGTGACAAAAATCAAAATACGGAAGTAACAAAAATCGACACCACAGGATTTTGTTGTGCTACTTTGCAAGAAAGCCAACCGATGGGCTGGGCTGAAGTCTTTTAAGCGAACAAAGATAAATTGTAAGGGCTCCGCCCCCTGCCGCCGACCCCGGGGATCTATATTTCAGCCGTGAAGCTGGAAAACAGGACAGAAGTCCGCCTATACGCAACGCAATAGATCAATTCAATTGTTCTTTTATATATAAAAGGAGATTTCCCCCCCATTGAGGTGTGAGTTAAAAACATTTGGGTCTTAACATGTCATGTACAGGTGGTTGATGGTGATTGTATTGTCAGTGTTGCAAGCTGTGCCAAGCTCTTTTCAGCGCGTTCGCTCAAAGTCCATCATCCTAAGCTGGACTCGGCCACACCATCACACAGGAATCATTGTATTGGACATTCAGCAGTGTTTGAAAAATTTCAGTGTGGAGCTTGTTGGTAAAAGGGCGCAAGCCGCCTAACCAGCTTCAAAATCAAGGACAAACATCCTTGTCCATCCAACGAATCCCTTAGATCAGCCTCACCACTGCTCCCTGAGCAAGATCTAGATCAGACTTCAAAAAATAGAGCGGCTTGCCTTGGATAAAGACACGGAGCCACGGTACACGACACTTTTCAGCCACGGACACGGAGCCACAGCTTTCCACAATCTAATTCGAGACCAAAAATCGCCCGAAAGAGGTCCTCCGCGTACGCCCCCAGAATGTCTAACGTTGCTTTCGGAACCCGTACAACAAGTCTGTGAAGCAGCGTCAAGCACGCCCTTCCTTCCGCTTTCGACCCGTTAACGTTGCTTTCGGAACCCGTAATATAAGTCTGTGAAGCTCGGAAGCCTCGAAAAAGCTGTTCTCTCACCTCCCACGGGTCACAAGAAGCCGTTCTCTCACCTCCCACGGGTCCTCTCACCACGGGTCCTCAGACTGGTGCACACGAAGCCGTTCTCTCACCTCCCACGGGTCTATAGACACCTGTTCCGAGTGATTTCCTCCGCCACAGCTTTCCACAATCTAATTCGAGACCTCCGCGTACGCCCCAGAATATAACGTTGCTTTCGGAACCCGTAAAAAAAGTCTGTGAAGCAGCGTCGAGCACGCCCTGTCTTCGCTTCAAGCCGCCGGCTGTCACGGAAATGCCTCGGAAGCATCTTCCGCTTTCGACCCTTCAGCCACGCTTCAAGCCGCCGGCTGTCACGGAAACGCCTCGGAAGCATCGAAAAAGCCACTGAAAAAGCCGTTCTCTCACCTCCCATGGGTCCTCTGGCTGGTACACAAGAAGCCGTTCTCTCACCTCCCACGG